TTCACATTTTCAACTTCTTGTCAAGAACCACTGGGCCAAGTTTAACCAAAGATCATCATTAATACATGCAGATCTAAACCAATACACAAATTACAGTCTGTTGATAAATTTGCAATAATATTATAAACTCATCCATAAAAAAATTAACTACATACTGAAAATCATTCCACAGAGGATTGTCATCGTTCTCCAACTTCTCGTCCATATTCTCACCATCTTCATCCTCCTCCTAGTCTTCTTCATCATCAAAGATATCTTTTATAACTTCTTCATCCTACAAAAATATTAAATAAGGAACAAAATGAAAGTACATCACTCTATGTAATAATTATAATCATCCTTAAATTCAGCTGTATGGTAAGAAGCAGGGGATATACTTAACACTCAATACACTCAAGGAAATGAGGTCAAGGTCATGACCTTGACATAATTCCATAAAGTCTAGGTCATGACCTTGACCTCTACACACTCCAGAGAACTATGTCAAGGTCATGACCTTGCCCTACTTTAAAAAATGTCTAGGCTATGACCTTGACCTAATCCTAGGAGATCTAGGTTATAAACATGACATCCATACACAAGGACAAGGTCATGTCATTGACCTGAAGTTAATATTAGGTCATTTTAAGGCCATGAGTCTCGATTCTTCTCTAGGTCATGTTATACAACCTTGACCTAGGTCATGTAAAGGTCATGCTTCTCAAATCTGGCTGAGGTCATGTTAACAAAAAAGTAGGTGAAGACCTATCAAGGAATAAGGTCAAGGAACTTGTATATAAGTTCGACTCAAACAGTTGTGACATCAAAATAGAGAATACGGAAAACATTATTTTGTACAACTAACAGGTTGGTATTTTCCCTCTTATTAGTTTTTTTTAACATTTTGTAATTTGAATTTTCCTTCTTAATTTCTCTCTCTCTCTCTCTCTCTTTTGTAATTGAAATTAATTCAATTCTGAAGTTAAGTAGATCCAAATAAAATGTACAAATTCAAATTTTAAAACTGATCTGGTGAAATTTCTACGAAGTACAATACGTGTTAGTTTCTACTCGTTTAATCTTTGAAAAAAGTTGAATAAAAAGATTCCTTTCAATATCTCGGCTTAAACTTTCTTAAGTTATAAACAAAAAAAAATTTTAATTTAAACATTTTCATTCAAAAATCTTTTTTTTTTCTAAGAACAAATTTCAAGAATATAAAGAAGAAATTGTAAACGTTCTATAATTTTCAATAGTCTACCCTAATACTGAAACCATCCTTATTTATATAATTCACTTCAAATCCCACTTTTGTGAAATTTTTATTAAAAAATTAAAAACCCACGCGGTTAAAACATCCATTTTAATCATTTAAAAATGAGCCAAGTTGTTATTTTCAATATTTTTTTTACTTAATTTTGTTTGAATCATCTGTCCTTAAATCAAAACTTTATTCATGTATTCGATTTTTCAAAAGTAAAAATGAACAGTATTTCACTTTTGTAAATATAGAATTATTTCAAATTAAAAGAACATTAAATATTTTTAAAATTTGAATTGCTAAGGATACATGTCCATATAGCAATTTACAAATATCAATATTGAATAAAACATACATAGTAGCCGAACGATTTTCTAACAATCAAAACTTTTTTTTTATATTTGCGCATGCAGTGGGAAAAACAAACTATAAACGAAGTTTGATGTAAAGATTATATTTATATGCTTGTTTATACATATAGTTTATACATGTACATGTAGTACATGCATTTATGTGATAACATAAAATCTAATAGAAAATGAATACAGTATATGTGATTAAATTCATTAAGCATCAAGTACAAAACATTCATTAAATACAGAGGTCTATGATAAAATGTTATCTTTTTGATAAAGAAAACTTTGATTTTTGTGAACAATATACATGCACACTGTACTGTTTTAAATGAGTCTTCCTCTACACAACGAGTCTTCCGTTTAATAAGTGTTATAAATCACTGTTTTAACTCATTTAAAATTTATTTTCGTCTATGTTATAGCACTTTAACTGGAGCTTAGGTAACTTGAATTAACACATTTATGAAGGTTATAAGTAGTTCTAGTGATAGTCTCCTTTTTCTTATGCTGTACGTCCTTCATAAGCAAGAAAATTACATGGACACAAATTGCACTCTACGCCTTCTAAAATAGTCCTCCAGAAAGTAAATCAATATCTCCATCTGTTGTACATTTGCGTTCATAGCATCCTTCAGCGATCTCAAAGTTCGCAGCACCTCTTGTAAGGGGGTAGGTTGGATGTGAGGATCTCTGCGTCATTTTTAGCTCTACTGGTCAGAGACCAGAAGAGCTTATGCGATAGTAATGCGTCCGGCGTCCGTCCGTCTGTCTGTCTGTCTGCCCGTCTGTCTGTAAACAATTTTTCAAAACGCTACTCCTCCTACAATTTTAGTCTGATTTCAATATAACTTGGCACACAAGTAGACTACACTAAGATACATAGAATAGTGCATGGGTTTTTGATTTCAATGAACGGTGTTGCCATGGTTACTAAAAATAGAATTTTCTGTGAAATTCCTTTAAAACGCTACTCCTTCCACAGTTTTGGTCTGATTTCAATATACTTTGGCACACAAGTAGACTACACTAAGATACATAGAATAGTGCATCGGTTTTAAATTTTGATGAACGGTGTTGCCATGGTTACTATAGATAGAATTTTCTGTGAAATTCCTTAAAAACGCTACTCCTTTTACAGTTCTAGTTTGATTTCAAAATAAGTTGGCACACAGGTAGACTACACAAAGATACATAGAATAGTGCATCGGTTTTTAATTTTGATGAACGATGTTGCCATGGTTACTAAAAATAGAAAAATAGAATTTTCTGTGAAATTCCTTAAAAACGCTACTTCTTCTACAGTTTTGGTCTGATTTCTATATAACCTGGCACACAAGTAGACTACACTAAGATACATAGAATAGTGCATCGGTTTTTGATTTTGATGAACGGTGTTGCCATGGTTACTAAAAATAGAATTTTCCGTGAAATTCTTTAAAAACGCTACTCCTTCTACAATTTTGATCTGATTCCAATATAACTTGGCACACAAGTAGACTACACTAAGATACATAAAATAGTGCATTGGTTTTTGATTTCGATGAACGGTGTTGCCATGGTTACTAAAAATATAATTTTCTGTGAAATTCCTTTAAAACGCTACTCCTCCTACAATTTTGATCTGATTTCAATATAACTTGGCACACAAGTAGACTAAACAAAGATACATAAAATAGTGCAATGGTTTTTGATAAGTACATACCAGTAGAGCTACAGTCTCGACAGACACTTCTGCTTCTTTTTAGCTTGTGACGTCTTCTAGAATACATTAAAAGTGTCTTTTTTAATATTGATGTATGATGAAAGTGAATTTAACATTTAATAAAAATAAATATTGATGCGATGTATGATGAAAGTGAATTTAACATTTAATGAAAATAAATATTGATGTATGATGAAAGTGAATTTAACATTTAATGAAAATAATTCAATCTCAAAGAATACTTGTTACAAAATACATTAAAATAGAAATTGGTTCAATTTATAAGGAAAAATACGGCTTAAATGCTCACCTTAATTCTGTTAAAATTGAGTCCTCCACACCGCTGAATGCCCCCTGGCTTCCTTGTGTCGGGGACGTGATACAGGTAGCTGTCTCCATGGCTGAAGAGTCCGTGAAAGCAGCAGCCGTACTCTTTGGCCCGGGTGATATTGGGGAAAATGCTGGGTAGACATCTTTTTTAGGGGCACCATTTGGAACCGAGTTCCCTCGTTTCAGAGTGGGAGTTGCCTCAGTAACTGTAGGTGTTAAATATTTTTGGAACAGCACGCTTTCGTCCTCTAAGTCTTGGAAGTCGAGGCTCGGAAAGAGTTGTGGCGGAGAGTTACTGAAAATGAAACAATATAAAAAAATTGCATAAATTTTCGTTCCTACATGTATTTTATTCAGATGAATTATAGCTTAAGTTTCTGCAATTTATATCACTATTGAAGATAGTCTACATTCTGGACTGATTTTGTTTCATTACACTTTCCTTAACAATACGTACATGATATATACATATATATACTTTCATGCTTATTGAATTATGCATACTTATTTATGATAAAAATGATTATATATATACATAAATCTTTTCTATATTTCTAATAAAGTTCAAGATTTTAATATACATACCTAGACTCGAAATTCTTCTCGTCAAGTTCATTTTGTAAGTCGTTCCAAAACATTTGGAATTCAGAAAAGTTCTTTGATGAATTTTTCTGTTTGGGTTGTTGTTGTGGTTGCTTTTGAATTTCCTGTGGTCGGTCTTTTACGGGTTTTCCTAACATTTCCCTCAGAATAGGATTTTTATTTCTCCCCTCATTTTTCTTTTCAGCATTCCTAATTAAAATATAAGAAATAAAATAATTTTTTTTCAGGAAATGAAGGTTCAATTACATGTATTTAAAAATATGTCTTTTTAGTGACAAAAATAATTTTATGTTTTTGCTAACCAAAGTTTAAAATGATGCATGGATAAAGATTTACACACTTATTTTAAAAGTTTATTTATTTTGTCCATTTAAAAAAAAAGTTTTAAGACAATGGTATTAGTCTAAATGACTCTTTAAAAAAAAACACACTCAAAAACGTTCAAATAATTATGCCCCTTTTCAAGTCTATTTTTTTTTTAAGTTAAAAAAAAAGAGATAAAGGTAAATAAATTACTTACATGAATGATAACTGAGCCTCTGCCATTTTCACAAACTAAGTTTACTACCAAAGGATCGTCAAATAACGCGCATATTTGGCTGTTCCCGCGGTTTATTGAAAACGAGGTTAACCTCATTACTTCAAAAAACATGGTGTTTGGCTGCAGAATATGGATTTTGGCTGCATCAGTGCTAGGCCTAATATGTTTAAGGTCAAGTGTGGCCGATCCGATGTGCATTAAATGTTCGAAATTATCAACGACTGCAAAATGTTTGATGCCGGCACCGTGTTACAGGGTGTACTGGTTCGTAACAACCGTGTTAGTAAGGAGATGCAACACTCCAATTTTCTTTTTTCCATCAACGGGGCCACGTGCTGTGATCAAAACAGCCAACCGTGCAAACTGTGGTAAGTTTACTTTATTTAATTTACTCAACTAATGAGACTTAAGTTCGTAAAGTAGGCTGGGGGAGGGCATATTAATGGAAATAAGTTCAAAAGAACGGAGGGAAAAGGGTGCCACATTGACATGGCCTATATCATTTATTTTAGCGCCATTTTTTTTATTGAATGTCAAACCTTCACTTGTTCTATTTAAATATCAACTAATTTAATGGGATAGGATGATAATGGAGGATGTGGGATTTTTTTTTATTTTAAGTGGAATTGTGAAGAGAAAATAAATTTACATCTACACTATGCAACATTTTTTTCTATTGTATGATCTAAAAAAGCATATTCTAAGTAAGGATATTAAGATTTAACGAAATAATTAATTTTCAGACATTATCACAACCACAAAAATCTTAGACACCCAAAGTACAGCTAGTACCATAGACCCTTACACCGGAGAACCCCCCAGTACGGCGTCCACAGACCTCCCAAGTATGACCGGTACAAGAGAACCCCCCAGTACGGCGTCCACAGAACCCCCCAGTACGACGTCCACAGAACCCCCAAATACGGCGTCCACAGACCTCCAGAGTATGACCGGTACAAGAGAACTCCCCAGTACGGCGTCCACAGAACCCCCCAGTACGGCGTCCACAGACCTCCAAAGTATGACCGGTACAAGAGAACCCCCTAGTACGGCGTCCACAGAACCCCCCAGTACGGCGTCCACTGACCTCAAAAGTACGACCGGTACAAGAGAACCCCCTAGTACGGCGTCCACAGAACCCCCCAGTACGGCGTCCACAGACCTCCAAAGTACGACCAGTACAAGAGAACTCCCCAGTACGGCGTCCACAGACCTCCCAAGTATGACCGGTACAAGAGAACCCCCTAGTACGGCGTCCACAGAACCCCCCAGTACGGCGTCCACAGACCTCCAGAGTATGACCGGTACAAGAGAACACCCAAGTACGGCGTCCACAGAACCCCCCAGTACGGCGTCCACAGACCTCCAAAGTATGACCGGTACAAGAGAACCCCCGAGTACGGCGTCCACAGAACCCCCAAGTACGGCGTCCACAGACCTCCAAAGTACGACCGGTACAAGAGAACCCCCTAGTACGGCGTCCACAGAACCCCCCAGTACGGCGTCCACTGACCTCCAAAGTACGACCGGTACAAGAGAACCCCCTAGTACGGCGTCCACAGAACCCCCCAGTACGGCGTCCACTGACCTCAAAAGTACGACTAGTACAAGAGAACCCCCCCAGTACGGCGTCCACAGACCTCCCAAGTATGACCGGTACAAGAGAACCCTCCAGTATGGCGTCCACAGACCTCCCAAGTATGAAAGGTACAAGAGAACCCCCCAGTACGGCGTCCACAGACCTCCAGAGTATGACCGGTACAAGAGAACTCCCCAGTACGGCGTCCACAGAACCCCCCAGTACGGCGTCCACAGACCTCCAAAGTATGACCGGTACAAGAGAACCCCCTAGTACGGCGTCCACAGAACCCCCCAGTACGGCGTCCACAGACCTCCAACGTACGACCGGTACAAGAGAACCCCCTAGTACGGCGTCCACAGAAACCCCTAGTACGGCGTCCACTGACCTCTAAAGTACGACCGGTACAAGAGAACCCCCTAGTACGGCGTCCACAGAACCCCCCAGTACGGCGTCCACTGACCTCAAAAGTACGACTGGTACAAGAGAACCCCCCAGTACGGCGTCCACAGACCTCCCAAGTATGACCGGTACAAGAGAACCCTCCAGTATGGCGTCCACAGACCTCTCAAGTATGACCGGTACAAGAGAACCCCCCAGTACAGCGTCCACAGACCTCCAAAGTACAACAGGTACAGAGAACCCCATAGTAATTTTAAAATAGAGCTGAATTGTAAAGAAAATTAAAATAGAGTAGAATTGTCACGAAAATTAATATAATTAGTGAACTGTTTGTACTATTACTTTTTATTGATCAGAAAAAAAACATTTAGATTAGGATATTTAAATTAATTAATCTTATTTATTTTTCAGGCATTTTTATAATCCTTGTTAAGTGCTAATTCTGCACAGAGAGGAGTGTAATAATTCATAGACACAATATTACCCATACAGAAGAAATCAGAATTCTTGCATGTATGAAAAAATTACAGCAATTATTTTCTTTAATTAATTTTGAATGTAAAGAGAAAATTCAAAGATTAATATTTTGCTTTGGTTAGGATTTTTCTTCCTTTTTTAAAAACCATTCAGTCCCCATTGATAGTTAAACATGTATTACTTTGTTTTTTTTTAGCATACCTGATTTGTTGTGTCATTTTTCACTGTGAAAATCTGCTTTCTACAAGGGTTTTCCTTTAAAAAAAATGAACAATTTGAAAACCTGTTGAAAAAAAGTATCAGATGCAAATTTAGATTTAAACATTGATTTAATATATAAATAGAAAAAATTCTCGAGAGGGACTTTAAACAACAGACAATCAATCAATCAATATATAAATACCCCCCTCCCCCGACGTAACTAAAATAATTCCAAAATTAAATTTTCATATAATTAAACAAGAGGCCCATGGGCCACATCGCTCACCTGAGTACTGTAGCTGTGAAAAAGTAGAAATTGATTAATTATTGAAAAGTAAAAATCCAAAAGTAATCTCATGATCAATCATGGATTTGCCATTTTTCAAAGAATTTTTCCTATATATTTCTATGTAAAACTTTGGTCGGCCATTTTGGCCCCGCCCTACCCCCGGGAGTCATGATTTGAACAAACTTGAATCTTCACTACCTGAGGATACTTCCATATAAATATAATGAATTATGCCTTTGTCATTCTTGAGAGGAAGATTTTTAAAAGAATTCTCCTATATATTTCTAAGTAAAACTTTGGTCGGCCATTTTGGCCCCGCCCTACCCCCTGGGGTCATGATTAGAACAAACTTGAATCTTCACTACCTGAGGATGCTTCCAAATAAATTTGATAAATTATGGCTCTGTCATTCTTGAGAAGAAGATTTTTAAAGAATTTTCCTATATATTTCTATCTAAAACTTTGGTCGGCCATTTTGGCCCCGCCTTACCCCGGAGGTCATGATTTGAACAAACTTGAATCTTCACTACCTGAGGATGCTTCCATATAAATTTGATGAATTATGGCTCTGTCATTCTTGAGAAGAAGATTTTTAAAGAATTTTCCTATATATTTCTATGTTAAACTTTGGTCGGCCATTTTGGCCCCGTCCTATCCTCAGGGGTCATGATTTGAACAAACTTGAATCAACACTACCTGAAAATGTTACCCTATAAGTTTAAGCTTTCCTGGCACAGTGGTTCTTGAGAAGAAGATTTTTAAAACATGCCACCAAATTTACATTAATTTCCAATTATCTCCCCTTGAACAAGGGCGTGGCCCTTCATTTGAACAAACTTGAATCCCCTTCACCCAAGGATGCTTTGTGGCAAGTTTGGTTGAAATTGGCCCAATGGTTCTTGAGAAAAAGTCGAAAATGTGAAGAGTTTACAGACGGACGGACGCCAGACAAAATGTGATCAGAAAAGCTCACTTGAGCCTTCGGCTCAGGTGAGCTAAAAAAATTCTCTAAAAATGTAAGTCTTGAGTTTTTTTTCAGTGTGTCTAATTGTGCATGAAAAGCACGGCATTATAGAACGTATCTTCATACGAGATGATTTTATGATTTCTTTGTGTTGAGTACTTTACATGCATGGGTGAATATACCGACAACAACTCAAAACTCAAATTTAAGTATTTAATTTCTTAAAATTTTCTTTGAATTTATTTTATACAGAATACCTTAATCAAAGTACTTGTAGTTGTTATATTGAAAAAGTACTGTTTTTTAAAAAACAAATCTACCTTCTTCTGAAGTATGTTCTGGTATTTTTTGTGAATTGGTTACCATGGAAACCATGCCATTTATAATAAAAACAAGCCTTAGAATCTGTAAAAAGAAGAAAATGTATCCCTTTACTGATACTTTAAAACAAAATTTTGCAGTGTATTATTAAGGGTATCAACATATGTACAATATGTATTATATATACAGACTTTTTGTTTAAATTTCATTTGTTTCCTTCATTTATTCAAGTTCTTAAAGTGAATTATCTCAACAATTTGGTGGCAGCGGTGGGATACATCTGAGCTTGGGAAAATAAAGGAAATATTTTTGTTTGCTTGTTTGTTTCTATTATTAATGTTGTTTTTGTGTTTCAGGTTCAAAAACTTTCACAATGTTTGATATACCAGAGTCGATGACTGACTTAATTGAAAAGGGTACAACCGTAAAAGAATGTCTCGAGATGTGGCGTCAGGAGCCGGAATCCGAGAGAGAGCTCAAGAAGGAGAGATGGGCAGATGGGGAGAGATGGGCAGAAGAGAGAGAGAAGAGCTTCAGGCACAGAGGGAAAGTGCAAAGCTAGAGGTGGAAAGAGATTTGAAATTACGAGAGTTAGCTGCAAGACAAGAAGAGCTAGAGGATGTTAAAACTGGGGAGTCTCAACTTCCTGAGATTAAATGCCCAACAGTTAAGTTACCTCAAGTTTGAGGAGATAATTATGTATCTTAGTGATGTCTACTGCTGTCCCAAGTTATATCTAAATTTTAATAGTTGTTGGTAGTAGGGACGAAACCCTATTATAAATATTTCATTGTAGATATGGAATCCGTAAAAATATTTGCGGACAGCAGAGGAAAAAAATTGTCCATTGAAAATGTTAATATTAAAACGTTCCCAGGAGTCACGATGATCACCATTCTACAAACTATCATGCAATTTGTAATTAATGAAATCAAAAATATTACCATTTATGTTTATGCAGGAATTAATGACTTTACTAATTCCAAAAGGGGAAAAAATATGAAGAACTTGTTGTAAAATAAAATTTCAATATGCCAGATTTTTAACCACGTTGAACATATGAAAAAATCAATAGAAAAAAATGGAAATAAACTTATATTTACAACAGTACCTACAATGATTGTTGAAAAATAGATTAATACTAGAAAATCACAAGGAAATACAACTTATTTAAAATTGGAATCCAAATACCATGAAATGCAAATATCATCAATGCAAACATTAAAGAATTAAATCGAAATATAATAAGAATAAATTCTACTTCAAATTATTCTACTCCATATATCCATACAACTTTAGAAGTTAACGTCCCAATTAAAAAAGCTGGAACCAAAATTAGTTGATGGACTCCATCCAACAAATGATCTAAATTCACGAATTCGACAAGGATTTCAAAATGCTATCACATTAAATTCTACATTACAAGACTCAGATGAACCTGACACAGATCCGAAACGTTTTTGTAAATATTAAAAAAAATCCCGATTTAACCAGTATCATTTGTACATATATTGTCTGTGCATGTGTTTAATGTGTTCAAGGACCAATATAGTTGATTGTCTTTTTTTATGAAGCTTACAGGGAATAAGACATAAAAATGAGTTTAAGAGCATTTATAATTAATATTTATAGTTTTTTCTACAGAAGTGTAAAAAGGGACATAACTTTTGAAAAGTGTGTATGAGCTTTCTTAATTTTTATTTATTATTTACAGTTATTATGGATGAAATAAAAAAATCACCTTAAAACTAAAGAGCTGCAAATACTTGAAGGCTACACAAAATTGAGCATGGGAATAAGAAAGAAGGGTTAGTAGATATCGAAAACGTTGGTAGAAAATGCAAAGCTACCTCCAAAATGACCAATTTCAAGATAGATTTGGTAGAAAAAGAAATCAATAATCTGAAAGAAAACAACAAACTAAAAGAGGAAAACAAAAAAAAAAGAGATTTAGAGAAACAACTAAAAGAAATTCAAATTGAAAAGATTCAAAATTGAAAATTGAAGAGCAACTAAATAGCTAACAACAATTCATAAAAACTCTTTTTTCTGATAATCTTCATAATGAAGACTCTCAAAGTGAATCGGCTGTAAATTCCGATGATGGACAATCACAAGACCTCTTTGTCTGTCCACAAACAAAGAAAAAGCAAAAATGATTCACTCTGAGAGACTTCATCAATACTTTATATATATACAATCTACATTCAATATTAGAAATTTACTTGTTTACTAATGTGTCTCAAGAGAGCTGGGGTCAACATGTTAAAAAATTATCCTTAAAAATAATAAGAATTGTATGTAAAATTCAAATCAGCAATAAATCAGAACACAAACAGGTCAAAAATGTAGTCATTCTGGAGTCCAAAAGATTGTGGTTGCAATGGAAGAGTACGTACTGGTGGTGTGTTTGCAAATTCAAGCCTTTACCAAGCTTTGGAATCACATGATCTTCATATTCCACCTAAAAACCTTTACCACAGAGACATACACCTGGTCCGTATGTCCTTGTTGGGGATGAAGAATTTCCTTTAAAGTCTTATATAATGAAACCATACTCCGTCAAATATCTGGACCAAAACAAAAGAATGTTCAACTACAGGCTGTCAAGAGCAAGTC